CACACACACACAAAAGACCAAAACACAATAAGGAAACGATTAAGCAGCCGCACGATCTCGAGCCTTCGCCTTCCCCCCCCGCTTTCCTCCTAACCCTCTCACCTTCCCCCTCCCAGCCCCCCCTCTCTCTCACACACAAAAAAAGAAAAACAAAAGAAAGAACAAAAAAGGCGATCAAGCCACACACACCAAAAGAAAAATGAAAAAACAGAAAACCCATCACCCTTTTCCCTCCTCACCTTCTTGCCTTCCCCCTCGCACACAAGAAACGAAAAACGAAAAAGACGATCGAGCCATACACGAACAAAAGAAAAACGAAAAAAAACAACTCATCTTCATTTTCCCTCCTCCTAACCCTCTCACCTTCCCCCTCCCAGCCCCCCTCTCTCTCACACACACACACAAAAAAAAGAAAAAAACGAAAAAAAAACGAAAAAGACGATTGAGCCAAGTGGCTGCACCACGTACCGTGCCTTTTACCCTCTCTCGCCCCAAGTGCCCCTAACCCTCCCCACGAGGCACAGCTTGTGTCTCTTGACCCACTCCCTTCCCTCAAATGTGGCACCCGTCATCTTTTCACCTGATCCCATCTCCTCACAATGGCTGCAGTTGTCCTGCGTTGCCACGATCTTAAATCCCCAATGACTGACAAACCCAATTTCCTTTTCCCTCGTCCTTACTCCCCCACCTCCTCCTCTCCCTCCCATTGCATTTGGATCCCGAGACCTTTTCCGCCCTGGTCATCAAGGCCCCAATCCCATCATCATGTCCCGCCGTCATGGCCGCTTGTTTCCCTCTCCACTCCTTCCCGATGTTGCCCTGCCTCTACTCATTCTCTTGATCAGGAGAGAAAAACGAAACCACTGTAGCCTGCTTCTCCCATTTACCCCTTCCCTCTCCCTCCCCTGCCTCTCTCTCTCTCTCTCTCTCTCTCTCTCTCTCTCTCTCTCTCTCTCTCTCTCATGCCTTTGTTCACGCCAAAAAGGACGCATGACTGCCCAGACTGTTTCATCAAAGTTGAACCCCGACAGTCTGCCCAAGATGCATCTGCGTGCGTGTGTGTGACGTCATGTTCGCTTTACACAACTGCATTAAAAAAGGCTCGACTATGCCAGACTGAACCAAGCACCGATTCCACGATGCATGTATCAACGTTGCACTTAGCACGAAGCACCGACCCCACGAACCAACCGCTAATGCACATAGCACCGAAGCCAAATCAAGCACAAACCAAGCACGGAGTCGCACGAAGTAGCACAAATGCACCCAATAGCACCAAGTAGCACGAAAGTGGCATCGATGCACGAACCAAACACAACCAAGCACGAAGTACCAAGAACGAAGTATCAAGCATTGAGAGAAAGATAGGGAGAGGGAGAGAGAGAGAGGGAGAGAGAGAGAGAGAGATCCACAGAGAGAGAGTATTACGGTAGGCAGGTCGCATGGGTCGCGTAGGCTGTAGGTAGGTCGCCTAGGTCGCCTAGGTCGCGTAGGTCGCCTAGGTCGCCTAGGTCGCGTAGGTCGCCTAGGTCGTGTAGGTCGCCTAGGTCGCGTAGGTCGCCTAGGTGGGCGTAGGCAAGTCAGTAGCTTGCGTAGGCGCATAGGTCACGTAGGCAAGCCCGTAGGGCACGAAGTACCAAGAACGACGTACCAAGCACTAAGAGAGAGGGAGGGAGAAAGAGAGAGAGGGAGAGAGCAGGCCAAAGAGAGAGAGAGCTATGGTGGGCAGGCCGTAGATGAGGAGGGCAGAGATGAGCGGAGGTGGAGGTGAGATGGGCAGAGGCGAAGGTAAGGTGGGCAAAGGCGGATGTGAGGTGGGCGGAGGTGAGCGTAGGTGAAGGCGGGAGCGGAGGTGAGTGGAAGCGAAGGAGAACTGGCAGGGGAATGTCAAGGGAGAAATGGCAGAGGAATCCCAAGGGGGGGGGAGGCGGAGGGGAGGGGACCAGCAGGCGGAGGCGGAGGTGAGCTGGCCCCCGAGTGGAGAAGAAGTGATTGGAGGCACGAAGGAGATGGTGGGCGGTGGCGGAGGGGAGATGGGTAGAGGTGGAGGCGAGGTGGGCGTCGAGCGGAGAAGAGGTAGGCAGAGGCGGAGAGGAGATGGTGGGCGGAGGCGAAGAGGAGATGGTGGGCAGTGGCAGAGGGCAGATGGTTGGAGGAGGCGGAAGGGAGGTGGGCGGAGGCAGAACGTGGGAGTCGGTGGCGGAGTCGAGGTGGGCAAGCGGAAGGGCCCGTTGGACTTCAGTGCAAGGAAAGCGCCGCCCTGCAATGGGCCCTGTTTCCAGCAGGCGCACGGATCCGGGCCACCCGACGGTCCGAATTTCCGCGCGAACTTCAGACTTTAAGATCGCGCGACAATCCAAGTCGTCTCACCTGCCGCACGGCCTGGATCTTCGCACGATCTTAAAGTCTTAAAACTTTAAGATCGTGTGGAAATCCGGACCATCGAGCTGATAGAACCGCGGGCGGCACGAATCTGCCAATTCTCACGTTAGCGATTTCTATAAGTGTAGAGATAGAGGTTTACCCGTGTAAGACCCGAAAGGCTTCAGAAATAGCCACATACATCTATCGATTCCTCAATACTCATCTTGATACAAAGGAGATCTTAACGGATAATGGATCTGAATTTAAGGCTTAGGTAGAGGAGTTGTTGACACGAAGGGGCGTTATGCTCCGACACACCGCACCGCATGTCTCCCAATTGAACGGGCTCGCAGAAAATGCGAATCGCATGATTAAGACTACTCTACGCTAGAATTTGGCGCCGAATGACACACGTCCATGGCCTGAGATAGTATATCAAATCGTGGGAATCCACCGGGTCACCCCTCATGAATCGACCGTGTTTTCCCCTTCCAGTTACGGACCAACAACATTCCCTGTRTTATCAACCGAGACACCTCATAAATTGTTGAACCTCGGGGTAAGGACACACGGGCTGCCTTAAAGGCTAAGGCCAAAAGGCATGCCGATTTAATGGAAAAGGTGGTCCCTAAATTGGCCCGTAAGAGACAGAGGATGACAAATGTGCACGCGACCAAAAACTCGCTCCCAAGTTCTCTGGCTTTTTTTGCGTAGTCGAGCTTGGGACTAACGGAGTGGATACAATGTGCATCGCTAATCGTGGGAATCCACCGGGTCACCCCTCATGAATCGACGGTGTTTTCCCCTTCCAGTTACGGACCAACAACATTCCCTGTATTATCAACCGAGACACCTCATAAATTGTTGAACCTCGGGGTAAGGACACACGGGCTGCCTTAAAGGCTAAGGCCAAAAGGCATGCCGATTTAATGGAAAAGGTGGTCCCTAAATTGGCCCGTAAGAGACAGAGGATGACAAATGTGCACGCGACCAAAAACTCGCTCCCAAGTTCTCTGGCTTTTTTTGCGTAGTCGAGCTTGGGACTAACGGAGTGGATACAATGTGCATCGCTCCTGGAACAGGCGCCAGCCATAGCTCCCCTCTTCCTCCACATCTGATACCTTCTGCCCACAGCCATCGCCATGAGTTTCACACCTGAACCTGCCATCTACCCCACCAATTGAATCATCCCCGGCTCAGTCCTGATCTGCTACGGTTTGCACATCTATTCACCCATAACGCCTGGTGCACAACCGTGGAGGTAAAAATCTCCATAGATCGCAGTTCAGCAGTAGTTTTAGGGGAAGCCTCGGCATTTCTTCTTTTTTCGCGGTCGGGTCAAAGCGATGTGACGGTAATCGTTGTGTTTAGCGGTAATCTGTGCAGCATCGGTTCCCCGCGGTGTGGCGACGCAATCGCAAGTTTGTATGAGTTGGGGAAAGAACTACTGGTGGATTGGCAGCAATGGATGGCTAGGCCAGGAGATCAAGTGGTTGGGACGGAGTGTATTGACATCTTCTCGCTGCGATCTGGTATCGCGAATCCGCCAGCCCCGCTGCTTCCCTCTCTTCGTCCTCATCAAACTTCTCGTCGATGAATCGTTTGTCTACCTTCTCTCTCCCCTCTAACCTTCCAACTTTCTATCCATCCTGGGCCGACCCCCTCCTCTCATTGGAAATACGGCAGATACCCATCCCTCCCTTTCGTCGTCTATACCTTCGCGACTGGGCTGGACTTGTGGGCTGCTAGCTTCTATCTACTCTCAGTAAAGGTGCATAGGGCGCGCTATTGCTCCAATCAGGAGCTAGAACTTCCGATCGAACTCACTCTACTTTTGGCACAAGTGTGGCCGTGCAATACAACGGGGGTGCTAGCAAGGTTGTTGTTTGGTGAAGTGACCCGGCCATGGAGAGCGACCTCGCCAACGAGATACTGGTCTTCCTAATGCAAATCGTCGACGACCTGTCGACGAGCATCATCTCCTTCAATCCTAGTTTTACACGTCAAGCTGGATTTATAACTTTGGAGTGTGCGTTGACACCCACAATCATTTGGACCAGTTGCACGGAGAACGTCGGTCACTTCCTGACACAGCACGATCCGGCCAAGTCGAGGTTTCTGGATTTAGACAAAGTCTCCCCGGACGACTCCAACAAAAAGAGTTTTGGGAGGCTCACAGAGATAACGGGGAGGTGCCATCGAACGACAATTCGGAGCCTCTAACCATCCCCAAGCAGCAGCAGCAAGAAGAAGAAGAAGAGGAAGCAGAAGTCCAGTCCACCTTTGAAGAAGAAGACGGCGAAGAAGAAGCCGAGAATGAGACTGAGGAAGACGAACCAAAGGAGGAACCCGAAGTGAAACGCCAACAGGTTGGCGCTTCGTCACACCAGCTGATTCCGCACGGAATCCCGAAGAGCCTGAGGACGTGGCCAGCTGCCACGGTGGCGCAGGATCCTCTCGCCGCCGCTGCAGATCTCGCTCACCACCTCCCTCCTTCGCTCACCACCTCCCTCCTCCGCTCTCTTTGAGATTCGTCCCCGTCCTCCTCCCAGCTCGAGCGCTCCATCCTTGTCTTATCTTCCGCCAC